TCGCAAACTATCACCACAGCAGGAGCTCCTTATGTGTTTGATGAAGTTGCGTTTGGCATTACTTGTTGATGATCTGGCTTTCAGGTTTCAAATATCATCTGCTACTGTTAGTAGCACGTTTATAACTTGGATTAAACTGATGTCCAAGGAACTCTCAGTTCTCATTATATGGCCTAGTAGAAATCAAACTAAGAATAAGAGTTCGCCGTAGAATAGTTCCTCGTGATACTTGCTGACTTTGCTGTAGACATGTGCGTGTGTTGCGAACTCAAGAACATCGCTCAAACGACGGTCAAGTTGTTCAAAGAAAACAAATGTTTTCTTTAACTTTCCGCTTTTTGATTACCACAAAATTTGACTCACATGTATAAAAAATCGCAAATAATAATGCTACTATTAAAATGGACGAGTTTGAGAAATATTTTTGGAAGAAATGGCCAATATGTAAAAGGGTAATTTTTGCGCATTTATTAGTAATTTATATGGACTCCATGCGTGACCGCGCGCTCGGCCCAATGTTTTTGCACCCCCTGCAATATGGCTACGATAACCTTGAAAAGGTCTATTACGTTTCGTCTTTAACTTAAGACATCTTCAGATTAATTGAAATAATATATATACACGAGGTTTTAAATACAAGCCTATAATATGGGGTGTTAAATTACATGTGAGAGGAGTAGGAAGTTTAGATGATGGAATAAGTGAGAATGGCGGTATATTAAAGAAGGTGAAGGGGGATTGAGTTGCCTTGGGTGTTAAGAGAGGGTGTAAGTTTGGATATAAGAAGGCTTTCATGAATCATAAGGTCATAATTGTCGGAGGAGGAAGAGAGAATTGAGAAATCATTAAAATCGGCAAGGTGAGATGTATTTCTTATATCAGAAAGAACTGCAAATGGTGGTGGACATAAGGAAGGCTTCCCTGTTAAGGGAGAGATTCCCAAGTGTTCTGATATTCTGGTGTGTAAATGACGCGTGGTTTGACCCACATACGATGCAGAGCAGCATCGACACTTAAATGAGTATACAACACCAGATCTCAGGAGCTTGGGAACCCTTTCCTTAAAAGGAAAGAAAGAGGAGAGACGCCTGGAAGAACGAAAAACAAAGCGAACGTTGATATGAGGAAAGGCAGCATTGCAGAGTCGAGTGATTTGAGTGCGAATCTGAAGACAGTGTAGGCCAGTGAAAGGGAGACAGAAGTACATGATTTTCTTAGGAGCAATCTGAATAAGATCTTTGGGTTCAAATGTATTGTTGAGGAAGCGGTGAACATGATTGTCAAATATGTATGAAGGGAAGTTGTTTAAGGTGAACAATTTTTCTAACGACTTCTAGTTCGGTATGAAAGTGTTCATAGCTGGAGCAGAGGTTGAAAATTCTGTGAAGTAAAGAGGAGATCAAGGAGCGTTTGTATTGAATGGGAATGAAACTATGGAAATTGGTGAAGAGACCAGTGAAAGTGGGTTTACGATACCCACTACACCTCCGTGTATGGAAATACATCTCACCTTGCCGATTTTAATGATTTCTCAATTCTCTCTTCCTCCTCCGACAATTATGACCTTATGATTCATGAAAGCCTTCTTATATCCAAACTTAAACCCTCTCTTAACACCCAAGGCAACTCAATCCCCCTTTCACCTTCTTTAATATACCGCCATTCTCACTTATTCCATCATCTAAACTTCCTACTCCTCTCACATGTAATTTAACACCCCATATTATATGCTTGTATTTAAAACCTCGTGTATATATATTATTTCAATTAATCTGAAGATGTCTTAAGTTAAAGACGAAACGTAATAGACCTTTTCAAGGTTATCGTAGCCATATTGCAGGGGGTGCAAAAACATTGGGCCGAACGCGCGGTCACGCATGGAGTCCATATAAATTACTAATAAATGCGCAAAAATTACCCTTTTACATATTGGCCATTTCTTCCAAAAATATTTCTCAAACTCGTCCATTTTAATAGTAGCATTATTATTTGCGATTTTTTATACATGTGAGTTCAATTTTGTCGTAATCAAAAAAGCGGAAAGTTAAAGAAAACATTTGTTTTCTTTGAACAACTTGACCGTCGTTTGAGCGATGTTCTTGAGTTCGCAACACACGCACATGTCTACAGCAAAGTCAGCAAGTATCACGAGGAACTATTCTACGGCGAACTCTTATTCTTAGTTTGATTTCTACTAGGCCATATAATGAGAACTGAGAGTTCCTTGGACATCAGTTTAATCCAAGTTATAAACGTGCTACTAACAGTAGCAGATGATATTTGAAACCTGAAAGCCAGATCATCAACAAGTAATGCCAAACGCAACTTCATCAAACACATAAGGAGCTCCTGCTGTGGTGATAGTTTGCGAGCTGGACCAGACCTATAACCTCTACCAGCAAACAGTTGAAATGGTGTTTTTGGAGTCGCGGTTGTTTCATTTTGTGTCTGTGTGGGTCCACGCCAGTATTGCATATTACTAGCTTTTGGCAGCAAGTATTCAAATACACACTTAAAACTGTTAGTCGATGGCAGGCCGGTGTGAAACCTTACATCATACTCTCTCGTCAACTGTTCAAATTCTAAAGGGACAGGGAGTAAAGATGCCTCAGATTTTGCTGGATTTCCATCAAAACTTGAATGAGAATCCTCGGTTTTATAGGCTTGATGAGGACGCTTTGATGTCGTCCATGTTTCTCTTCCTTTACGTTTAAGCGGAGTCCTCGATTGCTCGTACTCTGATAGCGTAATAAAAACCGAAGGATAATCCGTTTCGCGGTTATTTGGGGTTCTTCTTCCCAAGGGAAAATGATTTGAGCAAACGAAAGTACCTTGTGCACCAGGCTTTGGGTTAAAGTCATCGGCTCAGCTGTTTTCAATTTGTTTTCGCCAAATTTCAGCAGGTGCTTGATCTTTGGGCCACTTATGAAAAACTAACTTTTCTACGTGAGACCTCTTAACTTGATAATCAGGCTAGCGTTTATCATTATCGCAATATCCAACTGCACAACGCGCATTTTTTACCATTTCCGCTATGACTGCTCATGGCTACTCGGCAAGTTTAGGGTTTAGTTCGTTTGACTTGGCTTATGAGTTCCGCACATTTGCGAACTCAAGAACATCGCTCAAACGATGGTCAAGTTGTTCAAAGAAAACAAATGTTTTCTTTAACTTTCCGCTTTTTGATTACGACAAAATTGAACTCACATGTATAAAAAATCGCAAATAATAATGCTACTATTAAAATGGACGAGTTTGAGAAATATTTTTGGAAGAAATGGCCAATATGTAAAAGGTAATTTTTGCGCATTTATTAGTAATTTATATGGCTCATTGCGTGACCGCGCGCTCGGCCCAATGTTTTTGCACCTCCTGCAATATGGCTACGATAACCTTGGAAAGGTCTATTAATAAATCCTTCTCTATTTGATTATTGTGATGGCTTTTTTAAAAGTATTATGTTGGGCTATTATGTTCATATTGAAAATTCGCTTTCCGCCTGGCAAATCTCTGGCCACGATTTTAAATACGCATACGCTTTTTTCAGATTAATATTATATAACCCTTGTTTTCGACTAAAGCTGGCGAGTTTGTCGGTACTGTGGTACTGCCTGCATTGAAGAATATAATTTGTCTTGGGGTATTATGGTAAATTGTAATCATTCTGATGAAACATAATCGTGAACTTTGAAAAAATTTGGTGAATTGTCGCCAAAATTTCGATAACTCATAGCAATTTAGTAATACTGAATAGCTAATTTTGATATTTTTTATGCGCGAGGAGTGGGCTACTGTGGATTTGACAATTTATTACACTGACAAAAACTCAGGCGAATTTAGAACTCCGAATATCTAACGGGTACCTGGAGTAAAAGCAAATTGGATTGCTGACAGACTGCACGGATATAATTATTTAGCACTAGAGTTTAATTTATGCATGTTTTAACTGACGCGTAATTTGACGCGTAATATTCATTGGGACACAAAGGATTTTAGTCTATAGTGCAGCTGACAGTTACCCCATGCTAACCTGAGCGAAAGCTTAATCATTGTATTACTTTATTATATCGGCTAACCTGTATTGAAATTAATGTAGATCGTGAGGACCCGGCAAAGAAGTGAGTTTATGTATTTACGTTTGGTATACTGTTAAACAGAGCACATATGTTATTTATACTATATCATTATTTACTAGATCGAATAAAAATTATTTACTTATAATCTATACAATTCCGACTCACGCATCTATCGGACGGCTAACCTGAGAATCCACAAATAGTGAAATGGCTTATGCGCTAATGAAAAACTGACAGACAAATATTTCCTTAGTAAATATTTTCTCAAAATAGACTTGAATCATGATCAATTCTTTTAATTTTTTCTTGGCAACAGCTCTGGTTAGCAATTCAATAGATACGTGAGAAACGGAATCGTATAGAGTATATTTAATCAATTTTCTTTCTTCGATCGAGTAAATATTGATAAAGTATGGAATTACATATGTTCTCTGTTTAACAGTATAACTAAACGTAAATACATAAACTCACTTCTTTGCCGTGTCCTCACGATCTACATTAATTGTACTCCAGTTCAGCGGATATAATGAAAGATACTTTATGTTTTAGCATTCGCTCAGGTTAGCATGCTGTAACTGTAAGCTATACTTATAGACTAAAATCCTGTGTGTCCAAAAGAATATTGTGCGCAAATTACGCGTCAATCAAAGCAATAAATCATGCCTAAATTAATCTCTTATACTTAATAATTACAATCTGTGCAGATTGTCATCAATCCAAACTCTTCACATTAATATGTATCACTGTAAACTCAAAAGAGCGTATTTACCAAACATTCAATCAAGTATTGAATCAACATCTTTTTTTTTAAAAAAATCGACAATGTTATCACTTATTCGAAGACAGCAATTTATTCACTTATAATGTAAATTGTGTGATATTTGATACTGATCTGTGTTCATCACAAAATCTCAGACTGTAGAAGCGGCATTGATTATCTGAGAACAATGCCAGAAACATTTTTGAGTTCAAACGTCGCAAAATTTCTTTCTCTGCTTATGGCTACGCAGTGTTTTGTCGGTTGTATTGCAAATGCGATCGTTCTGTTGTATTCTATACGCAATAAAAGACATTTCCAGAATACGGCAGACAAACTTATACTTCATTTGGCCGTTACGGATTTTATAGCTCTATCAACGTACGTTCCATGGCGTTCATATCTTTTAATGATTCGAACAAGAACAACAGACTACAAGTTCTACACTTCATTGTTTGTTTTTTGTATATTTCTCACAGGAAGCGCTGTACTACTCATCGCATTTGATCGATTCGTTGCCCTGACCAGGCCGCTAAGATACAAAGGTCTTATAACGTCGAAAGTATTTTGGATTTCTGTCAAGACATCTTGGATATGCGCCTTTTTGCTGGGTATTTTCCATTATTTTAGTTATGATTTTCGCGTTCATGGCGAGTATGAGGTTTTTCTTAGCTCTTTGTCTTTCCTACAATTAATTCTTATGGCCGTCATATACACCTTCCTGCTAAAGTCAATCGCTAACCTAGGAAGAAAAATGTGTGGCGAAAGTGTCTCGTTTAATATTAAACAGTCTGCTTTAACAGTAAAGACCGTTCGTATGACGTTTGTGATTGTCTGCTTATTCTACGCAACCTTTACACCATATACGGTCTACAGAATCGTTTCAACAGCAGATGAAAGCATGTCAAATCATGAAAAAAATGGTACATGGCGTTGGTTGATTGCATTTACTTTCTTGAATTCATGTATAAATCCTTTTGTTTACTTCTACCGTATGAAGAAATATCGTCATAGACTTTGTATAAGTTGTTTTGGAATGCACCACGATCATGGTGAAAGAAATCATGAAAATCTTCAAAACAATATTACGCATTTGGTAGTGGAGGCGAATGTTGGGAATGAACGTTTACTTGCGAGTCGGTAGAGCAATGTTGAAGCTATAAAAACGATACACAATAAAGGAGAGATTATCTTATCAATTTCTGATGAATAATCGGGTTATCCAAACAAAATTAAATGTATCTAATAAAGTTGTCATCGCCTAGTTAGAATTTCTGTTATTTCCTGTAATCGAATGATTTAAATGTAATTTGTAATTGATCATAATTGCGGTGACGACATCATATGTTGGTAGACGGTACTACTTCTCCTTCCTTCAAGATTTACAATTTCTAAAAGGATTTAATCTTACAATTTCATCTCCAATGAATGTAGAACTTGCTGCTTGCAAATCATTTAGCTCCTGAAAGGCGGATACTTTTATTTTATGTCAACAAATCACCAAGTCCTCTTGGGAAAAATCAAAAACAACCACTTCGTGTAAACTCCCAATAAATTGGGAAGAAGGTTGGAAGAAGTTTATCATTTATAATCCTTTTTGGAATATACTGTGAAGAAATGAGATGAGAACAAGGGAAAAGACTTTAGATGGAAATTGACGCCCATAGTTTTAAAGACAAAAAAATACCAGCGAAAATGGACAAAATTGACAAAAAGTGACGGTATTATAATCATGAGGAAGATATAGAAAATGTCTTATATATTTGTCACAGAGCACATAACATGTGGAAAGAAACAAACCAATATTGACAGTCTAATTTTTAACAAGAACTTGCCTGATGACGCACATAGATTATATATATACACTTACAATTGTTGCAGAACAATAGACCTTTTCAAGGTTATCGCAGCCATATTGCAGGGGGTGCAAAAATATTGGGCCGAGCGCGCGGTCACGCATGGCGTCCATATAAATTACTAATAAATGCGCAAAAACTACCCTTATACATATTGGCCATTTCTTTCAAAAATATTTCTCAAACTCGTCCATTTTAGTAGTCGAATTATTATTTGCGATTTTTTATACACGTGAGTCCAATTTTGTGGTAATCAACAAGCGGAAAGTTAAAGAAAACATTTGTTTTCTTTGAACAACTTGACCGTCGTTTGAGCGATGTTCTTCAGTTCGCAAATGTGCGGAACTCATAAGCCAAGTCAAAGGAACTAAACCCTAAACTAGCCGAGTAGCTGTGAGCAGTCATAGCCGAAATGGTAAAAAATGCGCGTTGTGCAGTTGGATATAAAGGCCTAATTCCACGGCAGCGAAATGCGAAATAGTTCGCGCGAAATTTTGTTTCTGCGAAATTTTCTCCTGTAATTCGATTTCCACGCATGAGAAAAAGAGCGCCAACTTTTAAATAATATAGCAATATGGAGTTCAGCCGCAAACAATTAATTTGCCTGCTCTTGATATACCGAAGAAGAAAACGACGTTTGAAAAAATACAAAAAGAGATTTTGGGTCAGAAAGCTTTTTAAAAGTCGTGCAATACGAGGGGAATTTGTGAACTTAGTACAGGAGTTGAAACTGCACGACCATGAGTTGTTTTTTAAGCAATTCAGGATGGGTCCTAGCCAGATGGAAGAGGTTTTAAGCTGGATAGCGCCAAAAATTTATAAACAGGAAACTCAGAGAGATGTTATAAAACCTGAAGAGAGATTATGTGTGACTATGCGCTATTTAGCAACGGGTGACTCTTTCTCAACCATATCGATGAGTTATAGAATTGGAGAAACCACAATATCAAAGATTGTCAGCGAAATATCGAATGCTATTTGGGAAGCAATGTTGGAGAAAAACATTTTGAACATGCCTAAAGCACCAGAAGATTGGTTAGCAATTGCCAAATTGTTTGAAAAACGTTGGAATTTTCGTAATTGCTTGGGGTGCATTGATGGAAAACATGTACTCATTCAAGCACCTGCTAGGAGTGGTTCACTGTTTTTCAATTATAAAAAAACTTTCTCAATTGTGCTGCTAGCAGTTTGTAATGGAAACTACCAATTTACAATGGCCGATATTGGGGAAGCAGGCAGGCAAAGTGATGGTGGTGTATTTTCTAATGGCAATCTTGGCTATTCTATTCTTAAGAATCTCCTGCCAGTGCCTAGACCAAGACAGATAGACAGTTCAAATGTTTTATTTCCATTTGTCTTTCTTGGAGATGATGCATTCCCATTACGTCAGAACTTGATGAAGCCTTATGCAAATCCTAATTTGGACATAAGGAAACTTGTGACCAACTATCGCATATCAAGAGCCAGGCGTATAATTGAAAACTCGTTTGGAATATTGGCTGCAAGATTCCGAATATTTAGACGTCCAATTCATGCAAAAGCTGACACAGTTATTTCAATTACCAAAGCTTGTGTTGCTTTGCATAATTACCTAATGAATGGAAAGACATACGCTAACCGATACTGTCCATTAGGTTTTGTTGACCATGAAATCAATGGACATTTCAAAGGAGGGGACTGGCGAGATATGGTAGTTGATACAACTGGTTTGGGTCAAATATCAAGAGTTGGTTCAAACAACTATGCAAAAGATGCTAAAGAAGTAAGAGACAATTTTTGTAAATATTTTAATTCAAAGGAAGGAGAGGTCCCTTGGCAATGGCATGCATATGATGTTGATGTAAATAATTGCCACAAATCATGATAACTTTATTTAAAAGACATTAATGTCATCCCTAAAATTTGCATGGGAAATGATCATGATTCATGCAAGGAATTCAAATTTTTTTCAAAATAAAAAACACCACAACAAAACTTACAAACAAAACATAAACCTGTCAGACAAAACAAAGTGAATATTCACATTTCCCTCATTCATCATCCATCTCCTCCAGAAGAATCTGTTGAATTTTTATTTTTACTTCCAGACTTTTTTTTCTTGGGAACTTTCTCAAAACATCCACAATACTTTTACAAAAAAAGAAATCTTCATCTTCATGTTCTTTCTTATCACTGCCTTGATCTTTTTCTTTTATGGCATTAATTAAGTAGTGATCAATAGGATCCATGTCATCATTTTTTTTCCTTTTACGATGAACTATAGTTGCCTGAGGTTCAACATTAGGGAAGCTTTGATTTAAAATATCTTCTGCACAAGAAATAGGTTCTGATGATGTAGACGAGGATGGGGACTGGTGTTGTGAATGTTGTGGTTCAACAGACTGGATGGTAACGTTGCTATGGGTGGTGCGATTACTTAGTGTATCCCGAAGGAATGCCAATTGACTAAAATATCTGCAGCGAGGTGGCTTATAAGCACCTGCACCTGACCTGCTCATATCTCTTTCTCTGTCAAGACATTTTTTGAAGCTATTACAGAGATTTTTCCACTTGTTTTTCAGAAAGATAACTAAAAAAGTTAAATAAAAAAATTTAAGAAATTAAGCTAGTGAGCACAATTAACACAAAGATCTTTTATTATTTAGGCAACTGCATTTTTAACCATGCAATTGATGACTAGATGTGGTGCAGTACAATTCACAAAAAATTCAACTGTATCCACCAAGTTGCAAAATCTTGAACATCAGAGTTCCTGAACTGCCTATGACATAATCTGTAAAGGGAGAGCCTTGCATAATTTCATCCCACACCATACTCTAGTAAATATAGAAGTCACTGGTGTAAACAGTAGGGAACTTAAAAAACTTGGAAAAAATAAAACATGCATGAAATATGTAACTTCTGTGTACTCTTTCTTATTACTTATAGCATGTTCAAGGTGCACCTTCACCTGAAGGCTTGGCAGAAAACACACCAAACTAAACCATGTACTCACTATCGCGATTAAGTTTTTTTGCTAAATTTGCCCAGACAATCCTTTCTTGTCTGACCGTTTGAAATCAGGGGATTCTCTCATCCATAAAATTGGCAAAGACTGAACTTCGCTAATAAGTATTTCACAAAAATTATCATGGAAATCGGGAGTTTCGTTGGCATTTATGCTATGAAGTAATAGAGCTGTGTCTTCCGAAAGACTAGTCATGTTGATTTCCAGAGACGCCATATTAAATTTTGTTTACAAAGCAGTTATTTCATTGGTTTCGCTGGTTTTTTTCGCTTGAGAGTTGAAACAATTTCAACTTTGGCGAAACAGAAATTTTTCGCCGAGAAATGCCTCATGGCAAGGGTGCGCATGCGTTATATCAGTTTCCCGCGAACTATTTCGCATTTCGCTGCCGCGGAATTAGGCCTTTAGAGACCTTAAGATTTCACGACGCGCGTTACAACGACGCGAGCTTGGCGCGCATGGCCTGGTGCGAATGCGTCCGCGTGTCATTGTAAGTTAAGTAATTAAGATTGGATTTCCTTAACGACGCGAACTTGTGAGTTCACTACCTATACTTTCAAAAAAATGGCCTCCTTCAAAAAAACAAGAAATGCTATAGCTGTTGCGTATGACGCCGCTTTGATAAACGAAGAAGAATTGATGATCATTTGATGCTGATGAAAACTGATGCTGAGCAATCATTTGATGCTGATGAAAACTGTTCTGACATTTTCTTGCCTTGCTAAAAGCAAAAATGTAAACATATTTTACTCACAGATAAATATCGACACATCAATCACATACAAGACTCCACAGACAATTGTAACAGGTGAATTAAAAGCTGAATACTTACTTTAAAACTTTTTTTGTGAAAAATTCCACCTTCGATGTAGGACGACGTGGGATTAAGCAAAGACGCCGCGTAGTAGAAGCACGACAAAACTCAACGACGCACGCCCATGCGCATTGGTTTAAAATTCATTTCCGCTCGCGTTGTAGATGAGCGCGTCGTCAAATCTTAAGGTCACTATTGCGATAATGATAAACGCTATCCTGATTATCAAGTTAAGTGGTCTCACGTAGAAAGAGTATGATGTAAGGTTTCACACCGGCCTGCCATTGACTAATAGTTTTAAGTGTGTATTTGAATACTTGGCTGTTTCTTCTTCTGGCTGTTTAGTAGCCTTACATAATAATAAAATTAGCAATGTCTCTTTACAAATAATTGGAAATACTAATAAGAGTTTGCCGTAGAATAGCTCCTCGCGATACTTGCTGACTTTGCTGTAGACATGTGCGTGTTTTGCGAACTGAAGAACATCGCTCAATCGACGGTCAAGTTGTTCAAAGAAAACAAATGTTTTCTTTAACTTTCCGCTTTGTGATTACCACAAAATTGGACTCACATGTATAAAAAATCGCAAATAATAATTCGACTATTAAAATGG